TCTTCAATGTCTCCGTCTCATTCTCTTCTGGTCTGATGCATGGTGAATACAGCTCTACCACTGAGCTATAGCCCCAGTCTCTTTGACTTCTTAGTTTTAAAGCATTGCAGAAATAAAAAGAATGGTTTATCTCTTTTTACATTTATCTATGTATTGGGAGAGTACACTACAGTCCATATGTGTAGGTCAGAGAACAACCTGTTTCTCCCTCCATTATGTGGGTTCAGAGGGTAGAATGCAAATTGTCAGGTCATTGGGCTCCCCATTGGGTGAGAAGTTCCTTTACCTGCAGAACCATCTTTCAGGCCCCTTGAGAAAGGATAAATTATTTGTTCTTGAAATGTTCTGGTGAATTTGTCACAGTGAATCTTTCTTAAATAAGAGAACACATAATTCTTTTAAAAGAAAACATCATTTGAGATGGCAAGAAGGCACAACAGGTAAAGGAGCTTGCCACCAAAACTGACAAACCTGAATTCAATTCCTAGGACCCAAGTGGTGGAAGGAGAGAATAGACTCTGGCAAGCTATCTTCTGACTTCCACAAGTACGCCATGGTACATGTATGCCTATACAAATACAAGCACAAAATAAATAAATGTGAAGAAGTATAAAAATAATAAAAATGGCAGGTGTGGTGTCATACACCCTTAATTTCAGCATACAAGAAGCAGAGGCAGGTATATCTCTGTGAGTCTGAGACCACCCTGGTCTCCATGGAGGTCTTCAGGCTAGCTAAGGCTGTTTAGTAAGGCTCAGTCTCAAATAAATAGTAGTAGAGTAGTAGTTGTAGTAGTAGCAGCAGCAGCAGCAGTAGTAGTGATTTTTAAAAACATTGATAGCCATGAACATCACTTTTAAATTGCTGTGAAACTGAAAGTTCCATCCTTAGAATATAAATGTAGCTAAATATCAGCACTTCAAAACTGATATTGAAACAAGTTGATAAATATCATATAAGAATAGCTAAAATAGTCTAAAGCAAAAACCTAGTAAGTTTTATTATAAAGAACTATTTAGTGGGGTTGGAGAGATAGGCTCAGGGGTAAGAGCACTGGCTGCTCTTCTAGAAGGACCTGGTTCAATACCCAGCACTCATGTGGCAGCTCACAACCATCTATCACTCTAATCCCAGTAAATCGGATGCTCTCTTCTGACCTCTGGCTTCTATGGCACCAGATATACAAATGGTTCACAGACATACATGCAGGCAAAACATCCATACATGTAAAATAAAAATAACAAAAAATTCAAAACTACTTAGTAATCATTTTAGGCCTTCTGTTTCATGAGTCTCTGTTAGAAAAATTAAACTATACCACTGTAATACAAGAAAAAAAATGTAGGATTCAAAAAATGTGGTATATTTACACAATGGAGCATTACTCAGCTATTAAAAACAATGAACTCGAGAGGTTCCTAGGTAAATGGATGGAACTAGAAATTATCATCCTGAGTGAGGTAAGCCAATCACAAAAGAACACACATGGTATTCACTCACTGATTATTGGATATTAGCCCAGAACCTTGAAATGCCCAAGATGCAACTCACAGGCCACATGAAGCTCATAAAGAAGGAAGACCAAGTGGGGGTGATTCGGTCCTTCTTAGAAGGAGCAACAAAATACTCAAGGGAGCAAATATGGAGACAAAGTGAGGGACAGAAACTGAAGGAGGGACCGTCTGAAGACCACTCCACCTGAGTATCTATCCAATGTGCAGTCACCAAAGGTAGATGCTGATGTGGAAGTCAGGAAGTGCATGCTGATAAGAGCCTGATTTGGATGTCTCCTCAGAGGTCTTCAAGAGTCTGACATCTTCAGAGGCAGATGCTCACAACTAGCCATTGAACTGATAATGGGGTTCCCAATGGAGGAGTTAGAGTGAAGACTGAAGGAGCTGAAAGGACTTGCGGCACCATGAGGAGAGCAACAATACCAACCACAGCTCCCAGGGTCTAAACCACCAGCCTGGGAGCACTTAGGGAGGGATCCAGGGCTTCAGCTGAATATGTAAGAGTGGAGGGCCCTGCTGGGCACAGGTGGAAGAAGAGAACCTTGACCTCATGAAGGCTGGATGCCCCAGGGGGTGGGAATTTTGAGGGTGGGGAGGTGGGAGTGGAGGGGTAGATAGAGATTACATCCACAGAGAAGAAGGAGGAGGGGTGAGGGGATTGGGGGGTTCCTGGGTGGGTGGTGGATGGGGTAAGGGGACAACATAGGAAATGTAAATAAAACATCCAATAAAAAAAAAAAGAAAAAAGAAAAAAAATGTAGAATATATTGAAATGTAGCCAAAGAATACATAAACAAGTGAGTAAAAAAAAAAAAAACTCAACTTTTTCTTAGAAAAACAGCCAGTGAACTAGAATTTTCCAGTGAACATCAGTTTTAAAATTATACGTAGGAAGTGGTCTGCAGAGCAGGCTCAGCAGTTTGAAGCACATACAACTCTTGCAGAGGACCTCAGTTTGATTCTCTGCACCCAAGTCAGGGCTCACAACTTGCCTATAATCCTAGCTCCATTGGATCTAGCAGCCTTTTCTGGAGTCTTTGTACATATATACACTTGGCACATACTCATACACATAAGTTAAAAAACACACCTTTTAAATTTAATTTTATTTTAATTTTAATTATTTTAACTTTATTTTTTTAAGAATGTTTTATTGAGTGCACTGCAATAGGCGATTGGACTAGACAGTAATTAGAATACTTCCTGAAGCCAAAATTGTTCTTTAGAATACATTGTTACAGAGAATAAAAAAGCATTTAGAATAATATGATGAGCAAACCTCTGTGATGTGTCTTGGTTTTACTGAGTGATAAAATCAGAAGACAAACTCAATCTAAGGATCAGCTGTCATTATGCTCTTAGAGAAGCTAACACTGCAAAATTTTGAAGTGATCATTTTGAAAACTTATTTTATCATTGATTAAAAACATTTTATATGTCATTAACACATTTGGTGGTATAAACTTAGAATAACTTCTGTAACTCATAGCGAGCTATTGGAGAAATTGATTATTTAAACAGTTTCCTTGATAAAGAGAATAATGACTAACAAATTTGTATGTTCTTCTATCATTGATATGGTAATTATTTGGAATTTCCACCCAGAATTCTTTGTGTATTTGTTTTTTGAGACAGGGCTTCTCTGTGTAGCTTTGATTGCCCTGGATTGTTCTGTAGACCAGGCTGGTCTTTAACTCAGAGATCCACTTGCCTCTGCCTCCTAAGTGCTGGGATCAAAGGTATGTGCCTCTACCTCCCAATTCCTTCCTGAATATTTTTAAGACTTTTTAAAGAAATTGTATGTGTGTGAGTGTGACTGCATGTATGTATGTGCCTGGTTCCTTCAGGATACAAAAGGAGATGTCTAATCTTCTAGAACTGGGGTTACAATAATTGTGAGCCACTGTGTATATGCTAATGCATCTCTCCAGCCTCCTGAATATTTATTTTTCTTAAAATATTTAGTTACTGGCCATGGTATGTGTAGCTCATCTTGACAATTCATGTGAAAACTTATTTTAGGCCAGCGAGGTAGGTCAGTGAGTGGGTAAAGGGACTTGCTACCCAATCCTAGCAACCTCAGTTTGCAGCACCCCAAAAGCTTCTTATATTCTTTCTGCTGTAACTCTTTACCTCTGGAAGTAACCATAATCTTGATTTTTTTTGTTGTTGTTAGGTTTTGTTTTTATCATTTTCTTTGCCTTACGTCTTATGTAACATCAGCTAGTCTCACGCTGTATAGCCAAAGATGGCCTTGAACTCCTGATTTCCCTGTCCTCGTCTCCCAATTGCTAGAGTTACAAGTGTGTACCACTATACCTTACTTTTTTTATTTTTATTTTTTGACAAGGTCCCCCTACATAGTCTAAGCTAGATTGTAGGTTTATATCTTCTTACTTTTTAACAAAAAAAATTTGTTACCTACATATATACTTCTAAATAATATAGCTTATCTTACCAGTTTTTAAATATTATATTTTAAATAAAATCATACAGATGAATTCTTTAGTGTTTAGTTAGTAGATTGGTACTATATTTATTTTAACCATTCAAAATATGCCCAAGGTAGATTGAAATTATGAATATGAAGCTTTGTTTCATCTTCCGTAAAACAATTCCATTAATGACTTGTTACATGCTCTTCCTGAGGGCCTCTTCTTCAGGGCCTCTTCCTGATCTTTAGCTGAATTTTTTACTATTCTGGGCACTGTGACAGGGGTCTCACAGCAATTACGCTAGGTGGTAAAAGGAGTCACATGACTTTACAAACTCTGTATGGTTTTCTTTTACAGACTTCTTAATACCTCTATATGATTCTCTATCACCTTATAAATATTACAGTGACAGAACTGACCTTGTAATACTTTATTTTTTGATATTTTATTTGTTTTTTAACATTCTTTAAATTATTTGTATGTATGTATGAAAGATGTACGTGAGGGTTCATGTGTGTCTTGGTATGTGTTTATATCACAGTGTGTGTGAAAGTCAGAGGATAACTGTTAGGAGTCCTCTGGTTATCATAGTGTGTGTGAAAGTCAGAGGGTAAGTGGTAGGAGTCCTCTGGTTATCACAGTGTGTGTGAAAGTCAGAGAATAACTGTTGGGAGTCCTCTGGTTTCCCCCTGAGTTTCTGGGATCAGACTCAAGACATCAAGCTCACTTGTTAAGCACTTTCACCCACTATTTTATTTACCCTTAGCTGCATTTTTAGAGAAAGAGTCACACTCTACAGCTCAAACTGTCTTAAAACTCATGGCCAGCCTGCTGAGTACTGGGAGTATAGGCATGAGCCACATGCTTGGGTGACTTTGTTATAGAAGCATGAATGTTAATGTATTTATATAGTAGGTGTCTGTCTGTCTGTCTGTCTGTGTGCATACACACATGCATGTACAGACGTGTGCTTGTTTTTTGCTACAGGAAATAATTCAGTCATGGAAAACATTGTTTTATAGAAATAATACTTCGTGTTTTTTTTTTTCAGGTGAAACTTCCACCAATGATGGAAATCATAACTGCGGAGCAGCTGATGGAATATTTAGGTTAGTGCAGGAGACTACGTGACTTTTGTATCTTTTTCAAAATTAAATAAAGTTTTCAAAGCTGTTACTTTACTGGTGCTATTAGATATTCTATTTTAAAATTACAGTTCTGGGTCTGCTGATTAAAAATTTTACTACTATGTTACTATCCTTAGTTGTTAAGACATTTCTTCTGACTATCATTAGAATATTGAACTATAAATAAGAAGACTGGGAAAAATCCAGAGAATAGCACACTAATTAATTAATCCCAGTAAATTGCAGAGTGAGAAATGATACAGAAACTTTGGCATTTCATGAAGAAAATACCTTTTTAAAATTATGTTAACTTGAATTAAAGTTGAAGGAGTTGGGTTGGAGATATAGCACAGTGTTGGAGGACTTGCCTGGCATCTGTGAGCTCCTGGGTTTCATCAGTAGAGGTGAAACACACGCATGCACACACACCACACACACACACACACCAAAGCAAACAAACAAACAAAAAATCTAAAAAAATCTAAGGAGTTGATAAGAGATACTGCTACCCAAAGTATAATTTGTGGACCTATGTCAATTTATAGTATATTTTATCTGAAATATCTTTCTTACTGAAGGAAGCAAATGTGTTGAATTACATTCTTTGTGGGTTTCTTATCTCAAAACAGAGGAGTAGGGGCTGGAGAGATGGCCCAGCCCTTTGAGCACTGGCTGCTCTTGCAGAGGACCCCTTCTCAGTTCCAGCACCCACAGTGTGTCTGCAACTCCAGCTTTAGGAGATCCTATTTTATCTTCTTGCTTCCATAGTCATTAGACCTGTACATTGTGCACATACACACATATAGACAAACACTTATACACATATAATAAAAGTAAATCTTTTTTCAAAAGAGTAGTAATTCAGCTTGTAGGCTGTCTACATCAAATTGAACTTGTCTAGAGAGAATTAGTTATACATTATACTATGTCCTTTGCAATTTGGCAAACAGCTTATATATTATCAAATAAGATATTTTTCTCATATTTTTAGTGATTAAATTTTTATTTAAAAAATATTGTTAGGCAAGTGCTAGGGAGATGACTTAGTTGGTAAAGTGCTTACTGCACATGAATGAGGACTGGACTTTGAATCCCCAGTATGCCTGTAGAAGTTGAGTGTGGCAGCTTGTGCCTATCCTATGTGGAAGATGGAAGTAAAAACATCCTTGGTGCTTCCTGGTCAACCAATCTGTCCAGCTGATGAGCTCTAGATTCAGTGCAAGATCTTGTCTCAAAAACTAGGGTGAAGGGCTAGAGAGATGGGGTAGTGGTTAAGGGTCCTTTAATGCTTTTGCAGAGGTTCAGTTCCTAGCACCTATAGCAAATGCCTTATAACTATCTATAACCCCAGCATCAGGGGATACAACCTCTGGCCTCAGCACCTGTACTCACATGCGCGCATGTGCACATACACACATACACACACACAAGGGCATAATTAAAAATAAATCCTAGCTGGGTGTGGTGGCATATTTCCAGTACTCAGTAGGCAGAGGCAGGCAGATATCTGAGTTCTAAACCAACCTGGTTTGCAGAGTTAGTACTAGAATAGCTAAGACTACACAGAGAGACCCCCATCTCACAAAAGAATTTTTTTTTAAATAAAGTGGTTGAGGAAGATACCACATATCAAAGTCTACATGTATGTACACATATGCATATATATCCCCCACATACACATACAAACAAAATATTGTTAGATATATTTGATGGTATGATGCTATATGATGATCTATATATCAGTAATCCCAGAACTTGGTAGGCTGAGGCAGAAGTAATGATTATGAGTTTGAGGCCAGCATAGGCTACAAGCAAGACTCAAAAGATAGATAGATAGATAGATAGATAGATAGATAGATAGATAGTAGGTAGATAGGTAGATAGCTGATAGTTTGTCTCAGGTATTCCAGACAACCAATTAACTGGGTGAGAGGGAGGCGGAAGGGGAGAGTTGTATTTAATGTCAATTCAGAGGTTTCTACTCTGCCTTTGACCATTCAGTTCCAGATAAATGACACACAACCTTTATATTTATAATAAGCCTTAATCAGCACTAGAGTTTGCCAGATATCTATTCTCTATGCTATTAGAATCTACTTCTTTATCAGTAACCCCAAGATATAATTTGTCATGTTATATCTTGGCAGCTTTTAGCTCCAATTGGCTAGCCTTCATGGCTATGTTTTTATTATTCATCTACCCCATGATGGCGTTGTCCTCTCTCTACCTTCTTCTCCTTCCTTGTGGTTTTTCTGTTTGTAGTTTTTCTGGAGCAATCTGTAACCCCCAACATGGCAGAATTCTTTGTGTTTCTTTAAACATTTTCTCTAAAACATCTTTGTCAGAATCAGCTAACAAAATGTCATCCACGTAATGATAAATGATAGATGAGGAAATTGCTTACGATTTATTTCCAATGGTTGCACAAAATATTGATGTAAAGTTGGACTTTCCCTGTGAAAGTTTAACATTCCCTGTGGAAGTACCTTCCAATGGTATCTTTTAATCGAACCACCGTTGTTCAGAGTAGGTACTGAGAAAGCAAACCTTTGCCTATCCTGCTCTTACAAGGGTATTGTGAAAAAGCAATCTTTCAAGTCAATTATTTAGGTAAAGGAAGTCTAGACTGTAAAGGACCTATTGGTTGAATTACTCTACTAACTGCTCTTTAAAAAAAAAAAAAGGTTTTTCGAGACAGAGTTTCTCTGTGTAGCTATGGCTGTCCTGGAACTCACTCTGTAGACCAGGCTGGCCTTTAGCTCAGAAATCCGCCTGCCTCTGCCTCCCAAGTGCTGGGATTAAAGGTGTGTGCCACCACTGCCTGGCCTAACTACTCTTAAATCCATTATCCTTTTTCATTTTCCTGATTTCTTTTTTACAACAAACACAGGAGAATTCCATTGGCTGGTAGACTCTAATATATGTTGAGCCTCTGCTCTTGTACCAGTTGTTCAAGTGCTCACATTATTTTCTTTTGTTATGGGTCATCGTTCTTGCCACACAGGTCTGTTTGATAACCTTTTTAGGGTCAAGGCTGTTGGTATCAGTGGTCCCTTTTATAAATTTGGAAACTCTGTCCCAGTGATATCCTATGTTTGGACAATGGACACAATTTGTGATTGTTCTCAATCACCTATATCAATAAGGGGGAGTTTAAGAGAAGAAATTGGAAGTGGGGCTTTTAGAAAGTGTGCATATATATGATATCTATATATTACATACATACACACATACATACATACATACATACATACATTTCATATTTATTAATTCATGTTTACTGTCTAGGGACTTCATAATTATAGGTAAATTACTCTAAATACTTAAATATATAAAGATAGATTAGTAAAATATATAAAGATAGATAGATAAATAGATAAAGGCTAGATTAGTGGACTTTAAGCAGCCAAGATGATACCAAGGAGAGTGCAAAGAGGGCAGGGAGATATTATGAAATGGGATCAGAGTCATTGGATTCAGATTTGGAAGGGCCCAAATTGGCTGATGTAAAGACTAACTTTTTTTGGTGAATGAGCTGTGACTTCAGTGAGGACACTGGGCACAGCACTGATCTGAACCTCACAAAAATGCTATAGCTGCTATAACACAGATAGTATATTGTCAAATTTGAATGTTTTTATTTTAAAAAAATTCCAGGGACTAGAATGATGGCTCAGTGTTAAGAGCACTTGTTTCTCTTCCAGGGGACTGAGTGTGGTTCCCAAAACTCATTTTAGTTAGCTCATAAGCACCTGTAACTCCAGGCTGGATCTACGGGATCCAACACCTCTCCTGCATTCCATGGGTACCTACATACATGGCAAACACTCATACTAACTCATACATTGTATATAAATAAAAATTGAAAATGAATCTTTTAAAAAATATATAAGATATGTATAATGATACATGCTTTAGTCCTAGCACTCTGGAGGCAGAGGTAGGTGGATCTCTGAGTTCAAGGTCAGCTTAGTCTATAAAATGAGTTACAGGACAGCTATGGCTACACAGAGAAACTCTGTTTAGGGAAAAAAAGAAAGAAAGATGGAAGGAAGGAAGAAAGGAAGGAAGGAAGATAACTTAAAGGAAGAACATCTTAAGATCTAAAAGCAGTCTGCCTAAACAAAGGCAAGACTTCACAGCTGTATGGGTTCAGCAGCCAACTTGGATGATGGGCAGATGCATTACTATAAAACCAGGAAAAACCATTATAGTATCACAATGCTATGCAAAACTGCTTCATATCCAAAGTACAATAGGTTACAAAATATGGCACTTTGTTACAGAAAGGTGAGTAGGCTGGGGGAGCCACTTAACCTCACCAAGTCTATCATACACCCAGTAAGCTTGGCTGTTTTATCGTTAGTTACTCCGAGATAAAGATGGAAATCTTTTCTATCCAAACAACACACAACAGTTTTAACTCCAGTTAAGGTCCTTTCTTCTACCTCATGGGTTCTCAGGCTTGTTCTCTCCATTATGTCTCAGAGTTCTTAAGTGTTTTAGCCATGCTCCTAAACTCCTTGGCTCAGTGATCCTCCTGCCTTGGCCCACCATATCCTGGCAAGATAGTTATCAGCACAATGCAGCATGACAGTGTTCCAGAGTCCTTTACTTGTCTTTTTTCTTCTTTAATCAGCAAACATATTTACTGAGCAGCTGACCCATGGAGCTGTAAGAAGGTAGTGAGAACCATGTAGGGAGATGGGATAGTGCAAAAATTAGGGTAAAAGTTAGTAGCTAGCTCCATCCTAGTCCTTCTGCCCTTTCAGTGTCTTCCTAGATTCTCCTACTTCTCTTGTATCAGTCCTGCATTACCACCTGCCCAGAAGTTCCACCCCCTTATTTCCTGCTCCAGCTATTGGCTGTCAGATCTTTATTATAACCAATCATCAGTAAGACAACATCTGCTCCATCTCTTTGGTTGCCTAACACATAGAGAGCTGCCTGACCTTCATCTTTCAGGCAGATGAGGAAGGACA